CCCAAAAGACGCGAAAATTTCCAACTTCGCTCATTTTGCTTGCTGCTGAAAATTTTGCTTAAGATTTGAAAAAACTGTCACGGACACCTTTTGCTCCGCGTTTCTCGAAAATAAATTTCTCAGAAACGAAAAATACTATTCGAGTTCGCATTTAAAATACAGGCAAAACTGAAAACTGTTTACTTTTTTTGGCAAAAAAACATAAAACTGCATCCCATTTTTGCATATGTGAAGCGGTTCTTTATCGAAAAGCTTCAGATGAGTCTGATGTAAAAACACCAAGCCACTCAAAATATTCTCAAAGTTTAAAAATTAACCACGAAAGAACCAACAGCTCAATCCACCCTATGAGTCAGTTTATGAGCATGACTAACAGTTCAACATCTACAGGGCAATGAAGGGAAAAGTAATGCCAATATTCCCGAAATCTGCATCGTAGCACCTAAAAATATGTACTAAGCAAAAAAACCGCGAAATTCGCGAAATGAACTCAATTTTTCCCTGCGCTTTTCAAGCAAGCCTCAAGCAATAACCTCCTAGCAAACAATGTATTTTACCATATTCGTTGAAAAATGATAGCTTAATTCTTTGTCCATTAATCATTGCAACAGAGCGTTGCTCAACCGCTAAATAAATCCCTTCAATTGTGAGCATTCTCTATATGCATATAATTAAATAAATTGAAACATTCTTAGTTAGATACAGCGGGGTAATTAATTAAATGACTGTGTTTGAGAGCTTTTATGTGTGCACACATATTTTTAGAGTGGCAGGTGCAAATATTGCAGTTAAATGTGTTTGCAGCACGATTAAAAATAAACAAAATAACCCCGTGGATTTATTTGGTCTTTTCGATATTTGTATTTAAATTTAATTTTCAAAATAAATGAATTAAAATGGCAGGTTTTGTGCGGTTTTTCCTGTGGCGTTCTGGAATGTGCCAGATTCGTTCCATTAGAACAATTGGTTCCAAATCAAAGCTTTTAACGCTCACGCCAAAGAATTTCAAAATGTATTTGTATATTTTTATAGACGCTTCATCGATTGAGCTGTTTATTACACGCTTGTCTGAACGGTATGAGAAACATTAATGTATTTGCCACAAACAATACATCTGCCTGTACCATGCAAAATAAAATCGAAACAAAATCAGTCACTTATGGCGAATTTGCACGTTTCCCAAAACGCTCTCAATCATCCTGATGTTCTCAATCAATGTGTTAATTCGCGAAATCCGTTCATCAATCAATGATGGGGGCAAATGTCTGGAAACTCGCGTTTTTCGCATACAGTACTGGACTAGGTTTTCGCAAATATCGGCGATTTGCTGGATTTTCCGATCGTCCACAAATGTTATGCGCCGCGAATCGCCAGTGGTGAAAAACACCTGTTTGTCTGTCGACTCATCTTCGTGCAGCAATTTAATCTGAAACAATGTCCAAAAAAAAATGTTTTTTGCATTTCCCGTTGAATCCCTCCGACTGCGCCAACATTTGTCGTTGTAGCTAAAAGCTTCACGTTGTTCTTTTCTAGTGTTAAAACATCAAAGAGAACTTACAGTTTTCGACATCAGATCAAAATCCTTCTCGGTCATGGATCGATGTTCTTCCATGTTCCGCAATACGCAAATTGTCACCAAAGCCATGCCATCCAGTCGACTTTTCGCAATTGTGAAACAGTCCTGATATCTTTCTCCGGATTTCGGCTTTATTATTCGATCATCGTTGATCTCGTCTATCAATATAGTTAATTAATTTTTTTGGCTTAAAGTCTGTCCTCTAATAACCGGGTCTCACAACAAGTAACAAACTGATGAGTTTTTCTAGCTTTTAAACCCTTCTCGACCTTTCGCAGGCACGAGTGGCTTGCATCTTCAGAGGTGTTTCTAGAAGTGTTTCCAACCATTTTCAAGCGTTCGCTTAAAAAATCCTAAGAAACCATGTACAGGCTACCTAGTGTGCGGTTTTGAGCCTTTGAAAGGCTTGGAAAACTCACCAGTTGGAAGCAATTGGGTGCAAAAAGTGGAATTTTCCCTATTTGATTTATTACCTTCTCCACCGCGCATTTTTCTTCCACGAACCATCAGCAGGTTTTTATAAAACTTCCACTTCTGCTGCACGAACTTCTGCATAAAGCGCGGCTCGTCCGCATAAAAGTCCTTCGAGTCCGCATAGTACAAGCTGATAATGGCAATGTAGATGTTGATGAAGAAGAACGAAACCAGCATGTAGAGTATGTAGAAAGCGATGCCGAGCGGATGTTTGTACAGATCGTTCAACTCGAGAGTGCCGCACAAATTCAGGCTCAACAGCAGCAGCGTGGAGAAGGCGGAATTGAAGTTTTTGAAGTTCTGCAATTGCAAACGTCTGCTATTTGTCTGTGGAATTTCTTGAAAAGTTTACCTGGGAGTATCCGCCAAAGAACATAATCCCAGTCGCAGAAAAGGCAACTACCAGCAACAGTTGATAGGCCCAGCACAAGAGCAAGGAAGTTCCAGCATCCCGCACGGTTTTCTCGGCCACTTTCACTATAATCATAAATCTGAAACGCGCTCAAAAAAGCCTCGACTTGAACCCCATTAGTGTCGCTTTCCTTACCTCAGTAGCTTCCATAAGCGAAGCGTCGCCACAAACACCAGTGTAGCTGACAATGCGGTTAAAACATTATCCGCAGCAAACAGCTGAAAATATTGCACAAAATCGTTGTTCTTGGCCTCAGATACCGCATCGATGTAGATCTGGATCGCATGTTGCCTGGCGTAATACAGATAAATCGAGCAGGCGCTCAGGAACACTAAAAGATGTGGATGAAAACGCTGAAGCCAAGGGCACAAATCCATCAGCACCAATAACAATATCCAAAATAGCCCAAACATCGTAAAAGTACAACGTTTTCTTCCTATGGATCTTGTAGGCGATTCGCAGCGCCAGCACTAAAAGCGCCAGCACAAAGATGGTGGAAACTACATTCTTGGTAAACACTCTATCCTGGTCTATCATGAGAAACTTCCTGGTTTGGACCTGGAAACAATGCAATGCGAAAAATCAACCTGGCGAAGTTTGAGGCCCTACCTTTAAATCCTTGCTCACATGACCAGCGGCATTTATTTCAAAAATCACGGTCACTCCATTGAACAAATTCACGTTCGCGTTGTAGGTCAAAAACTCGATAAAAAGCGCCCTGGTTTGAATATCCAGCCACTTGTGCTTCTTCAAGTACTCCAAATTGATCAGGGAGTTCCTCAAATGGCGCCCCAAAGGCGCAACGTAGCCGCCTCCCGGATAAGCTGCATATTCACCTCAAAAAATTACAAAATTTTCAAAGAATTAGCTCGAATTTTGGAACTCAGTTACCAAAATATATGGAAGATCCAGATAAACTACTATCAGTGTACTTCCACACGTTGCCCATGCGCTCCGTGGTGATTTGGGAAATATCAGATGGTGCTTTCCAGCCTCTGGAAAAACTGCTCGTTTCTCTCAGCATGTGGAAGTCCGGGCGACAAGTCCAGGGGACCTTTGCCAGGATAGCTGGAAGCTGACATTTTATTTCCCGGGTCCGATGCTGCCTTAGACGGATTATGCCTGAAGCAACCAAAAAAAAATATTTGCTTAAAAGTGCAGTCAAGGAAGATTAGGGAATGTTTACAGTCAAACTGACGAGTTTTTCGGGGAGTTTCACTCATCAGATTCAAGCTTGAACAGAGCCACTAAACCTGTTGAAAATATTGCTTAACGGGAAATAAACTCAATTTTTTTATAAACTCAATTTATTCCTCGACGTTTTTAGCTCCTGAAAATTAACTGGCGACTTTCCCATTAAGCAACATTTTAATAAAAGAGATCCCCAGGCCATTCCTCGAAACTAATGGGTTTTTCGGGTTTTTAGGCCGTCGTTCGGTAGAATTTCTTCTTGACGTTTCGCAAGCACGAGTGGCTTGCATCTTCAGAAGTGGTTTGCTTGAACGCTTACACTGTTCCGATGCGATTCCTCGGGCGCGTCCGTATTTATACAACCGGTGCATAAATACGGACTGCAAAATTTGCTTCGCATTTTTCAAAAATAAATTTCTCAGAAACGAAAAATGCTCTCCAAGCTCAGAGTTGTGCGTTCAGTAAAGAAGAGTGCGCCCTAAAAGTCTCCAAAATTTCGAACTTCGCTCATCGTTAAGGAAACTTTCCTTACGATTTCAAAAAACTGTTGCGAGACACAATTTGCTTCGCGTTTTTCGAAAATAAATTTCTCAGAAACCAAAAATACTCTACAAGCTCAGAGTTGTGCGTTCCGTAAAGAAGAGTGCGCCTTAAAAGTAGCCAAACTTTCGAACTTCGCTCATCGTTAAGGAAACTTTGCTTACGATTTGAAGAAACTGTTGCGAGACACAATTTGCTTCGGGTTTTTTGAAAATAAATTTCTCAGAAACGAAAAATGCACTACAAGCTCAGAGTTGTGCGTTCAGTAAAGAAGAGTGCGCCCTAAAAGTCGCCAAAATTTCAAACTTCGCTCATCGTTAAGGAAACTTTGCTTACGATTTGAAAAAACTGTTGCGAGACACAGTTTGCTTCGCGTTTTTTCAAAAATAAATTTCTCAGAAACTAAAAATGTTCTACAAGTTCAGAGTTGTGCGTTCAGTAAAGAAGAGTGCGCCCTAAAAGTCGCCAAAATTTCGAACTTCGCTCATCATTAAAGAAACTTTGCTCACGATTTGAAAAAACTGTTGCGAGACACAATTTGCTTCGCGTTTTTCGAAAATAAATTTCTCAGAAACGAAAAATACTCTACAAGCTCAGTGTTGTGCGTTCCGTAAAGAAGAGTACGCCTTAAAAGTCGCCAAAGCACCGGTTGCATAAATACGGACGCTCCCGAGGAATCGCATCGGAACAGTGTAAGCGTTCAAGCAAACCACTTCTGAAGATGCAAGCCACTCGTGCTTGCGAAACGTCAAGAAGTAATTCTACCGAACGACGGCCTAAAAACCCATTGGTTTGAATATTTTAATGTTTTTAAACCTCTTTGCCTCACCCAGATATTTATTGGAGAAATCCTTGGTCATTCCAGGGTTCTCCTGAACATAGTTTCCATACCATTCTAGCGACTGAACTGTGGGAAGCAATACTTCTGCCAAATAATCCTCTATCCTGAAAGCAGCATTTTCCAGCTCAAGTTGCAGAAAACCAGAATCAAAATAAATGTTGCGCTATAAATCACGCAATATTGAAACACAAGCAAGAACACATGGCGCAACATAAGGAGATTATGCAGCTCAGGATCTAAAGCTTATTACATTGGCTGGAACAAAGAGAATCAACCCAACGAAAATGCATGATCAGAGGCAAAAGATTAATTAAAACCACACTAACTGTGAAATGGAATCAGGGGAAATCTTCGAGTTCACAGCCTTGCCTAGCAGCAAATTCTCAATTTCGTTATGACTGTGAATGGCTTGTTCGTCTCGGTCAAACATCAGCAGCACGTACAGAAGCGCCACATACACGCTAATCATCATCAAGTCCTCCAAAATTTCGAAAATCGCCACTTTCGTCTCTTCCCATTTGAATCTCTCCTAAACCGACCTTGATCAGTCCCACTTCACATCAATTTTCAACCAATTATAGCCCTGAATTACCTTCAGAGTTATGGGATCCAAACTGAAATACAAATGCCTCAAGTACGGTCTGAGCGCCAAAGGGCCAAACTTCTTGTAAATCCAGCTTCTTTGCAGTTCGACGAACTGAATAAAGCGCTTTGTGGCCGCTTGAAATGACTGGATCTAAAACGCAAGTTTACTCCCCGTGCAATGGGATCTCTAGTCTAAATCCCACTTACTTGCGCGGGTATTTGGACCAAAAATCCGTAAAAAAGTCGTGAAATGTTCTGCGTAATGACCATGTTAAAGCAGACGGCTAATGCAGCTGAGACCAGCCACAAAAGGCTGGTGTCGAACGGAATCCAGAAGCCGCAAACAATCAGCACAGTTAAACCGGCGGTAGATAGCAAAACAACTGAGCCCCTAGAATAAACGGAAAAAATAATTAAATTCCACTCTTTTCCCAGATACCGGGAGACCCATAAATTCCCTGGCTAATCCTACAATTTCACATGGAAAGTCCCTTGAACTTTCAGTGCACATAAATCACTTTTACGCTGCCCATAACTTACCAGGAAACAGTCGTCACAACTGCAGACGATATTGCCAGAAGTCTGTGCGGTCGTTTTCCCTTTGAAGTCGATATTTTTCCGCGTTTTATGGCGTAAATCAAAGGAAAAGTGAGCAGGAAAGCCAGTAAATTGGCCACTACTGGAGCCCAAATTAGCTTGGCATTGAAGCCAAAGGTGTTCCCATCGATCGTGTCGGATTCATCGAAATTTGGTATGGCATACATGAGCATTAGAATGAGGTAGATTGAGATGAGAGTTAGGAAAAGCAGGGCCAATCTCTCTTTTCGCGTCATTAACGGGTCCTTTGATCTGGAAAACTGCAATTGATGGACCCAAGTTGGACTAGCTGGACTCTTACAGCACATTCCAGAGATTAAGTTCCTTTCTCGTCCTCCCCAGCAAGGTTTTCACGGCTTTAACTACGCGTGTTCCTCCTTTCTCCAGCATTCCAGTCCCTACGGGAGCGGGAGTCAGAAGAAACTTCTGATGGTCGGGACGCGCGACGTCGAACCACTGGTTCACCTCAAATCGCCATGACTTGTCCTCTTGAATATCATAGACCTCAATTCTGGAGCAATACCTGAAAATCCAGCTGCACTTTACTGCCCAAAATACTCCAAAGAGTCACCAGTTGGTATCGTTTCCAATCGAATCGAACCAAATTTCCATCCCCACAAGATCTCCCAAAGACTTCTCAGTGGCCATCACGAACCAAATTTCCGTATTCTTTTGGAACATCACCAGTTCTGGATCTGGGTAGTTGAGAACGTGGGCCTGGAAAGCCAGTTTCCTAAAACTAAGCTCGATTTAAGCAGAAAGTTACCCACCAAACTGTCCGAGTTGGTCCCATTGAGCTTGATGGTCACATTGGACGTGGTTCCAGAGTGGCGCTTCTTTCCAGTTTTGATCGCCACTACATAGGCGCAATGGTAGAAGCTGGGCACGTCGCCCACGAAGAAAACTCTGTCTAAAAGCTGCTTGCAGCTATTAAAGCAGCTCGATGGAAAAGGCTTACGTGATCCGGCTGCTCAAAGGAGGCGAAGAAAAACAGCAGGAGGAAAACGAAGAAAGTGGCTGCCACCGTTATGTAAAGAACCCAGCAAAACCTGGTCTCCAACGCGAAGTCTATTAGAAGATTTTCCTCCAAGTTGGCCGCATTGTCCTCCACGTAGGCAGTGAAAACTTCCCCATACTCGCAGTAGCAAGTGATTGTCGTTGCAACCACTCTACCACTTGCAGCCTGAAAAACTCCAAATTAGGCCCTAAGGCATGCTTCCTTTTAATTAAGTAAAACATGGCAAGCATAGTCCCAGTTCTTCCCAGTCTCGTTCCACGCGAAGCAGCCAGTAGAGGATGCAGAAAATGAGTACTTGGTGCCTCCAGAACGAACCTGAAAAATACAGAAATTACTCCTAAGTGCTTGGAAAGGGGCGAGTCACCATTTGATCTGTAGGGAGGACGCTCAGGAACCAGAAGCTATCATAGTCATGCACCTCGGTCACATCCAGCACTGGATCGGAGAAAGTCACGGTTTTTTTCTGCGACTGGAATAAACCCAGGTCCGGCTTTGCAAAGCGGGTTAAGGTCGCCTGGGGGACACAAAGGCGCACTTAAGGCAACATTTCCCTCAATCCGCTTGCCTGGAAACTGTCAGCTGAACTCATATTTTCGAAGATAACAGTAAAGCCCCGATTGCGAAACACGTAGATGCGATGCATCGAAATTTGGTCGTTGAAACTGAATTCATCCAGGCTGGATAACGGCGCCGTGGGCAAAGTGGCTTGGTGCACGCTCAATGGTATGTCCACTTCCTTCTTATTCAGCACAGTGATCTTGAAAAGTTCTGGAAAGTTTGCTAGATAAAACCCCCAACTCCACGCGATCCTGCCAGTCATTCCACCTCTATGAAAGTCCACAGTTATAGCAGAGCGCTGGCGCCCAGTGCCAGTAAACTTCAAATAGACTATCGGAGAGATCAGGGGAATGTTGTCAATAAACCAGTACGGATTCTTCTGGGTTGAGCACATCTGTAGTGAGCCCCAAAAGTAAGAACGTTTTTTGCGCGTCAAATTACTTCCGGGACTCACCAAAATGTCCACAATAGGGACGTTTTGCTGCAGACACTCTTCAGATGGCTGCACCACTATATCATTCGCCTGCATCGATCCAGCAGCCATTTCATCGCAATACCTGCAATTGAGTACAAAAAATTGCAATAATCCGCCCAAGAATACATCAATTTACATTCGTCCAGCTACAGTGGTGAATGCGCCCTGCTTAGTAACCACTGGATCTTCTTCAGGAACCATTGTATTCGACAACATAGTAGCTGAAGTGAAACACATGGTTTTCATAGCTGCAGCCGCTTGCTCAAACTAAAGCAAATCTATTCTATTAAAAAAAGCTTAACTGTGTTAAAATGGTCTTAAATACCCGCGCTATATTGTCTGCAGACAATTCATCATCAGTATAATCCGCATAATCCTCCGTAACATCTCCAGAAGGCATTAGAGGACGTTTGGTGGAGGGCACTAAGACTTGAGGAGGACTTTTGGTTACGGATTCCCGATTCTCGTTTAAACCTGCCTGAGCGCAAGTCGCTAATGATCTACAATGGGGAAATTACCACGTTAAACTG